CACTACCCAGCCGCCATTCTCGTTGATCCATGGAACCAGCTCATCTTCAATCACCTCCGAAACACTCTCCATTAACTTGGGCAGGTATTCCGGATGTCCTTGGCGCACACAATCAACAGATAGCCCGCCGGCGATGGCAAACAACGATATCACCTTACTCCAGGTAATCTCCACCCGGAAGAGCTCACGACCCACGGCTCCCAGAAGCAAACTCACAGCATCCGGAGTGTGGAACTCCCCGCCAGGATTACGGCAAATCTGACGAGCTACGCCGTTGTAAACCCGCGGATGCATGCGCTCCAGTTCGTCGCCCAGCTAAGATAAAGTATTTTTAATTATTACAAATTTTTTTCCATAATTAATATTTACATATTCAAGATATCTTACCACTTGAACAGCTGGGAAAACATCTCTTACAATGCCCATGGAGGTGGAGCCCATAATGCTACGTATGCGCTGCAGTCCTAGCTTTTTATTGAACAATCCCGATCTTCTCAGCCGTCGCTTGATGTAGTGGCCACAGAGGCATCGACCCTGCAGTAGAAATATTTCAATTATATCAAAAATATACCTTAAATTTCCAACCCACCTGTGTGATGATGTCTTGCGCTGGAATCTGGGCTGCCTTCCAACCGATGGTATAGGAGAGTTTCCTGGTTACCGCATCGCTGACATTGCTCAACCTCCGCCGAGTGGTCTCCTTTGGGCCACCACCTCACTTCCAGCAGGGAGGCCGAATGGAGTGTGGCAGGAAAACTAAATTTTCTTCGATTCTGGGCCTGCAACAGTCGCTCACTTTGTGTGGTGGCCATCGGAAATCCGTTGCTGAAATTATCATTATTCGTGGGATACGAGGTGCCGGGCATGTTCCGCAGGCGAGATCGTTCGAAATCCTGAGGGAAATCGCTTATAAGTATGGCAAGAGGTGGCAGATCTTAACTCATAAATCAACTTAAAGCTAGTCGAAGATCCAGTTATAGTTTGGCAATAGGGTGCCTTGTTAATTCAATTAATTGCATTCAATTTGGCAAATCTTCCGCTGGGAATCATAACCAGCTGCAAGAAAAACCAGTTACATCAAAAATAATTGGCTCAATACATAAATGTCATGTTTAGCTGATTGAAACACCATAAATGTAGCCCAAAAACATGTGAATGAACTCTGAAATGGGATTACAAGTAAAGAGAACTCTTCCCACGTGTACAAGTACTTAAAGATCGTAGGTGCACAGAGGAAAATTTTTATACTTCAAATATTCCTATTATTTGTTGCCCTGAAAATGAGGATAATCTTAATTTAAACATCGAAAAATAAGGATTTTATTTAAATCTTAAAAAGTAATGATATGATTGTTTTTGAACCAAAGAAGATAGAACGCTATAGTCGAGAACTTCGACTATCAGATACCCATTACTCAGCTGAAGGGAGTGCGAGGGAGATGGAAATATGCAATATAAAGATTTGATCATAACTTTTGAATGAATGGTCCGATTTAAAAAATGTCTTCTACATTTTGATAGGTATTTTTAAACACAACAAAATTGCATTTATACTTTTCTATTTTTAAAGTCTTTATAGATGTATAAAGTGACCGACATAACTACCCTAAATTCTAATAAAATATACATAAATTCTAATATTACTGATTGTACTTATTTAAAAATGATCTATGTTTTTCTCAGCTTAGTTTCCATTATGACGCTCCACGATGACTGTTTGCTTGAGTCTGCCCAAAATGGTCACATTAACGGACAGATTGTCGGCTCGTTAGGTTTGATTGGCTTCTGGCTAACAGCGGTCAGAAATCCGCAATATGGCCAAAATGCTGCTGTGTCGCAGCTGTTGTCATTAGTTGTCCACAAGCGAGATGTCAAATGGCAAATGATTTGTGGGACAATCTAGCTGGCGCGGCAAGTGAATCGAAGATGGAACCGAGCTTGGATCAATGAGTTACTGGTCACTTATTCCCCGGAGAGCACTTCGCAATTAGCTTTACATAACCTGACCCACTCAACGCATTTCGTGATCAAGGAAAGTCAGTTGGAACAGCAAAGTCGTGTGTCTCTTCGGTTTTCGGGGACTCGACCATTAAAAGTGATAGCTGGGAAAGTGCGAGCTCCCAGAATAATTTGGTTTCAAATTAATCCAGGTCATAGGAGTCACGCCTAAGCCAATGCCAACGGGGAGCTTATAAAAACCCTATCATTTGGGAGCCCAATCAGTCAGTTATTGGTCAAAATGTCAACCAAGCGGATCGTAGCCCTTTTGGGACTGTTAGCCATCCAAAAAACCCAGGCGGATGTGTCGCATTTTTTCGCTTCCCCCTTGGAGCAATATGGAAACTATCTCCATGGCCAAGTGCCCTTTCAAGTGGGACTATCGCCTCCGAATTTATATGGACCGCCGCCTGCAGCGCCCGTAACTCCTGCCCCAGTGGCTCCCGTGGCCACCACCGAGTTTAGTCTGCCGGAGATCATCGAGAATCGCAGTGTCAAGTTTCAGGGAGCTGGTCATGGCAGCTTCATACCTCTAAGTCAGCATTATCTGCCGCCGGCTGTGGAAGAGCGACCAAGCTATGAAAGTCCCAAACCAAGGTGGGTTTTAACTACAGGTGCTTAACCTCCTTAAAAATAGGATTCCTTTAAGACTAGGACCATATTATCTTTACAAAGTGTGTTTAGGCTTACATATAAGTATAAAATACACTTCGAGTATCGGTTCCAATTAGTTTACTAAAATTTGAATTCAAGTAACAAAAGATAATATTACCAAAGTATATCAAAATAAAAAAAAATGGATTTTTTCTATTTTAAAACTAATTAAAATTTTGTAATATGTTCATGAAATGTATTATGTATTAATATTTATCTGTTTTCATAGTGAGGAGACCTATCCAGCTTACTACTATCCCCAACCGCCTGAAGGCAGCATTTTAAGTACCTCTGCACCCACAACTACCACTACTTCAAGACCCATCATTGTACAAGATCCTGGAGAAGATATTGAGACTATACATCCGCCTGGCTACGATTACCATGCTCCAGTGGCTGTTCCAGTCTTCCCGCTAAAGCCCTCCACACCGGCTCCAGTTTATCTGCCACCCGGTGAAGGGAAACCAGGAGCAAAATCAACTGAGACTCCGGCTCAAGGACATGCGTTGCCTTTCGGGGGGTTATTTTCGGGCTGTTCTCAAGTTGGACAGCTTTTTGGGAGCAGCACCCACTGTGGATCAGGATAATGATGATCAACTGGATAAGCGCTGTGAAATGAAACTCTCGCGAAGCTTTCTGCTCTTGGATATTTCTGGCGAGGATTTCGAGAGATGTGGCGTGAGAACCTGTGGCCAGGATCTTTGTCTACGCTTGCGTTTTCCCGCCATCAGGGGGTTAAGAACCAGTGGAGATTCGATCTTAACCCTGCATTGTAAAGACTCAGGAAAGAGTGGCAGTCAAGACGCATGCCTTGAAAATGGGCGTATCTAATGATGTGTAGGATGGGATTTTATTTTTAAGGATTCAATGATTATTCAAAGATTTTTTTCAGGCAAGCTCGCAATGGGGGTAGCTACGCCCATGGTGGCAATCAAAATGCCTTTCGAACGCACGTGGAACTGTTGAGAAAAGGCAGCACTGGATATACCCGACATTTGGAGAGCAATGGGGCGGTCCAGTTGGGCGAGGAACTACTCCTTAGAGCCCACGTTTTGGCGGGAGATGGTAAGTATGAGAACAATGTTTATAGATATTGAATATAACAAATCAATCTTGCTAATTTCTTAGGCTGGAACTACACCAAGCTGAGTGATGTGCAATTGCAGAGGATTGCAAGTGGAGGAGAAGTACTCAACACGGTTCAGTTGGTCAGTGCGCGGGGCTGTCTAAATCCCGCCATGCAGGCAATCTGTGCCCATGCCCCCATTTTGGAACCTCCTCTCGGCCAGAGGCTCCACTTCAAGGCGGTCATGTTTCCAGGCATGCGAAGTGGCGAGGTTTTGGTGATTTCCATGCGAATCACTGGCTGCTTGGAACGCGAGGATTGCCAGGTGACCGCTCAAGATTGTTTGCCATCCGTGGGCCAACGGAGACGACGGAATGTTTCACACGGAAATAGTACTGAAGTTTCGGAACTATCGCATCTAACCTTCCGGGTGATAATGCCGGGTGAGGAGGATATATCTCGAAAAGAAAGCGATATGGATAATGGAATCTCGGGAGTCAAAGAAGTCTCCAAATCACTGGCACTTTTTGGCAGCTTGGGATTTGTGGTAATGCTTCTGGGAGTTGCCATTGTGGCTTTATATAAATTTGGAAAGTAGTCAAATGAAAGGAATTTTTCTTTGCTCTGAAGTCAATATGGTTTACCTTAAAAATTAAAGTCCCTTCGAAATTGTTTATTTAAAATTACATATATTTATAATTATACTTGAACATTTACGGTCATAATTGTATTGTTTTAATAATTTGTACGTTTACAATTTTTTGAAAACTTTGTAATTATAAAGAAATTAAAATCCTTTTAGCAAACTTTAATTTGTTGTTGCTCGATATTTATTGCTTTTACTGAATTCACATCCAATCATTTTATGAATCCAAAAAAATTATACATAGTAAGAAGTTACCCTGCAGGAAACGGAATCAGTTTTGGACTATTAAAATACTAGTTGGGTCAAGAGGTTAACTAGTTAGTTATGTCCATTTCTTGTAACGAAGTGGTCCTTTTTATATGCTTGTCGTCGGAAACAACTAGTCCATATGCTACTAGTTTTGCACTAGTGACTGTTAACCACTTTACGGTTACAGCTGTTAAACTACACTAAAAAATATTTTCCGAAAAACTAAAATTAATCTCTAAACCATCAAGTGATTGGATTACACTAGTACTTGACGATGCCTAACTTGACGCTCTCCTAATTTAGTATCCATTTAATAGGCGCGGTCCATAGAGAATTTCTGATAATTATTATGTAATTAAATACAGTAAATGATAATTAAATGGAATTAAAACAAACTTAAAATTTTTTTGAGGCAAGTCGCCCTCTTAGGACTTGAACCCGGGACCTTTGGATTTGTAGCACACTAACTGATTGGCCATACCGCATCATTTTGTAATGCCTAACAAGGTTTATGAATTTTAGTGTGACATTATTCAAAACAGTGTTTTTCACTATATATTGCCTCGGCGATTAAACAAAGTTTAAAATAAAACTAAAGCATCCCTAGCAACAAAAACAAAAAATGTAAGACTGGGGATTGACCGAGGACCTCGGTGTTTGATATGTTTAGTGCTAATTTCCCAGACATTTACCTCTAGGCTATTTTTGGATCATTGTGTTTCTTGACTGTTTAATTCCGTTGCCTTTTAACTAGCCTACATGTTTTGTTTACCGTTATGTGTTTTTTTACTAGTTTTGTATTAATTTTTTGACTGCATTTTGCCTGATTGTAATGATCAATTCCTTGTTTATATTGTTGTTAACTGTTTTTAAGTTCATTTTTCGGGTATTTAGTATTAATTTATTTAAGTTAATAGTTTGTTTTTAATTTATTTCATCTTTCCTTTCTTTATTCCGCCTCAAACTCAAACCCTTTTTGGCCAAATACTTGTACATTTATCCCCTCATTTTGACGTTGACCCACCCATAAACTCCATCAATATCAATGGTATCTAAGGCGCCAATCTGGACCTGTCTCTTATCCATCTGTCTGCCAAGCAAATTGACTTATCGCCCCTGTGGAATCAGCAACGAACCAATGTTTGCCCATTTCGAGCTTAAAACAGAAATTAGCACTTAATAAAATTTTATTTATGTTCATGTCGCTTGTAATCGAACGGGCCTGAGAATAAAATCACAAAAAGAAAAGCTCAAAAAGCCAGTAGGCAAACCAAGTGACTTGACTGATTTCCAAACTGCGCGCGCAATTCGCAAATTGCGATCTGCGATTTAGTTATGGCCAGATAGTTGAAACCGAAATTTTATCACGTTTTCACGCTTCGAGCGCGGCTAATGAAACCTCGCTCACAGGCGACTTTTGGCTTTGTTATTTGGTGCAATTTGTTGTCGGTTTTCGTTTTCGTATATGATAATCCATCCATCTGGTGGCTGACAGTTAACGCTTAATGGGCATGAAAATCGCAGCCAATTAGCCGTTGATTTTAGCCGCTTTTGCACATTGGGTGGTCAAAAGTCTAGAGTTACAATTTAATTACTCTCTGGGGTTTGAAAATATACGTAGATATTTTGGAATTTTTGTGCTTGCTTCGGGATAAAATAAACTTCGTTTTTTTGTTGTTATTCGGAAATCATTTTAAAATAATACACTGTTTTAATAAAAACAACCAACATAAAACAATAATATGTAAAATATGTGAAAAAATGTCTATAAAATATTTATTTTTTGGGATATTTTGGTGATTTAATAAATTAAAATTTAAATATTCTCAATAACAGGTTCTTCTTCTGTGATCTTCAGCTCACATCCTCATACCGAAATTGGCTAGTCCTAAGAAGTCCCAGGTTCAATCCCATTGAGTGCAAATGTGTTGAAATGCTGAAACCTTTGTGTTATAAAATAATATTTCAGCTTATGTATTTTTTTTTGCCTGAAAAAGTATCTACAATTTTAAAATCGTTTTAAATAATTTTCTGTTTACAGATAAAATTCCCATAAAGCATTCTGATCTTTTTGCATTTAACGCTGACCTAACCTAACCCAAGCGGAAAACGCATTCCCTCAGCTGAGATCTTCAACGGCGAGATGCCCCCAATTGCATCCCCATCTCCACTTTGGGGAATGTGGCCCGATGTTTTGCTGGCTTCCACCGGCGATGTTGGCTAATTAATAATCCCGACACGTTCCGGCTCGAACACAAACAGAATCGGGGAAATCTTGGCCAGCAGGCGAGGCTACTTTGTCTTTGTCGCCTAAATGGCAGGCAAAATGTTTGCCGAACATAAATTAATGTCGTCCCCAACTGGCGCTTAAGTTCGTGTTCGTTTTAGCTGCAATCCGTGTACTCCGGTCTATAAAATGAAGTGTAGTAAAGTTGAGTTCAGTCTACCCCCTCCCAATTCCATGCGAAAAAGTACACTTGCCGCGGCAATTTACACTTTTCATTCAGCAGCCAAATCGGCCGAATGGACCGACCGGCAGTGTGGACCTGGCCTAAACAATTTTCATGTCGACGTCTGCTTAAATTATCGACTACTTAGTGCCCGGTTTAGCAATGCCTAATAAATATTTATGAGCGCACTTCATTTTAGTCAATTTTCAATGGACAAGCAAAACGCAGTTCTATGAATGGATCGATGTTCATGACTGAAATCGGCAATTTCGTCGATCGTTAAAGGAGGCTGGTAACTCAAAAAGTTCGAAAAGGGAACAGTTGGAGAGCTAAAGCCTAATTAAAACATTAAGTTTCTACAACGCGATCGATGGAAGTTAATTATGTAAATTAAGTGAGCAGAAACGGCCCTACATATTAAATTAAAAAAAAAATAAAAGGAAACATAAAATTAATTAATTAACTAACGAATAATAAAATGCAAATGCAATCACTTACTTTTAAGCAAAAATTTTATATAAATTAATATAAAATATTTCTGTATTAGACTAGACCCTTTTCTTAAATTAATTTAGACAATTCGCGTTTTATAAATTCATACAAATAAAATATTTTAAAACCCACTCAATATTTTAGATATTTTGTTTAAAAATGGTTTGTTAACAAATTTTTAATAAAAGTATTCTAAGAAACGTCTTTTCATAAAAAATCGTTATTTATATTTTATTGTTTTGTATAGCTTATAGTTTTTTCTCTTAATGATTTCTGAGACATTGATCTTAGACCTCTGAAAGGTTCTGTAGTTAATTGGAAAACAATATGAAGTTACAGAACTGTTTACTTGGCTTTTAAACAAATACAGTTTAAATGGTTTTTTATTTAATAGATCCTATACAGAAATTCTAAATAAATATACGTAACTTTAATTAAATTACACAATCACTGATTGATTTATGCACAACACCCATTTAATAATGCCCTCCCATTGGCCGAACTCCATGAAAAAATAACTAAATCAAGATCTCGGAATCAGCGAGTTGCTCGCACTCATTAGCAACTTTTATTAACCAAAAGTGTCAAATGTTTTATCTCGGGTTTGGATTGGCCCAAACCGAGTTGCCTTTAAAGCGTCGCCAGGCATTTCATTTCATTTTTTTGTTTTGCCAATTTTATTGGTTGTTCGACTCGTTTTTGTGGGCTGCGCTTTTAGCATTGTGAGCATGTTAACATTTGTGTTATTGATTTTTTACAACATTTGACAGTTACGCAGACTCAGATTGGAATTTCGTTAATTTTTCGTATTTTTCCTTTTGCCTCGAATTCGGAGCGCATGACAAACGATTTGGAGCAATTTGACTTTCGATTGGTGATTGGTTAATCAAATCAGAGTTCATTAAATTGCCATTTTACATTTAATTGCATATTCGATCGCCGGACAGACTTGACAGCTCGGAGTAATATTATATCTTAAACGACACATAAAATGCTTGAAAATACTGCAATTTATTTTAGCCGCAATCTTGCGGTTTTGCTGTATTATTATTTATTTGTTTTTTTTTTCATTTTTCTTTTATTTTTGTGGCCAACTCAGCTTGAACGAGAATGAAAATGGGAAATTAGTAAACGTAAAAACGCCTCTGTTTGGCATCGCTTGCAATTGGAAATTTACACCACCCTCAGGCGTTTCAGGTAGCAAACATTGTTCAGATCATTAACTGTTGATTTTGCACTTTTTCAGCCACCAATTTGCGTCATTCAAATCGAACGTGAATAGCGTTAAAACATGGGGTTTTAGGGTGTTTAAGGGGGGAAGGCAAGGTGTTACAGGTGCTTTTCGCCAGTTAATTGCATTATTTTTACGGTCATTGTGGTATAGGGTATTATATGATCTTGTCCCACATCCTTAAAACACTTGTGCTGACAGATCGTAAATGGGTTTTGTAATTTTGTATGGTTTTTCAAGCATATAATTAAAAAGAAAAGTGCATAAAATTAGTATTTTAGAAAAATGTGAAATGGAAAAAAAATATTTAACAAAGGAAAAACAATCTTTGCTTTAATATTTTAATATATTTATAATCAAAAATTAGATATATTTGAAAGAGTTCAATAAATTGTGAAAAATAATATAAAATAATCATTTTTTCTGTGGTTCTGTTTATAGATTCTTAGAAATGGCGATAATAAATATTATTCATTGAAATTTATTTCAATTGAATGGAATTCAAAATGTATGTCATATTATAATCCTGATGCAGTGAATCATTTCTTTTTTAAATAAAGCTAGACCATAAATCTCTATTATAAACCTCGCGTAACTACAATTTTCTTGGTGAGCTATGAAAATTGGCAAAACGAATCCGAGGTTTTAGAAGGTTTAAAATTATTTATAAATGCCAAGAATGCATGATAAAACAATTCGACATAAAGTTTAAAAAACCATAATATACAAGAAAAATTCTCATATTTCCCAACCAGACCTTTGAAATACAGCACCTCATATAATTGCAGTTGTGGCATTAATTTTAGCTTACAGACCGAATAGACCAACCAAATCAAAGTGTCCAACGCCTTTGTCAATAAACATTTGTCGTTCCGCTAATTGCCAACGTTTTTCGCCGCTCGACAAACAAACAAACAAACACACTTGAAAAACAAATCGAAAAGAGAAAAAATAAAACCGAAATCATTTATGGCAAAGTCAATTGCGCTATTGCTATCTCTTTCGTCGATGTGGGTGGAAGCATTACGTTGATTATCCAGCAAAATCCAGCAACAACAAAAGCAACATCCAATACACACACATTAACCGAACACGCACACAAAACAACAAAATTTAATTAAATTAAAATTGCTGTTGGCCTGTTTCGCCTTCAGCTGTTGCTTCTTAATTCCAGTTAAAAAAGGGCGTTCAACCGTAGGTTTTTTATTTTACAATTATTGATATTTATCCATATTGCTTTTAACACAATATTGCCATTACCGTATGACATTTAATGTTTTCTTTTCGTGGTTATACGTTTATTTACTCAAGGAAATAAGAAATATTGCTTTAAATGTCGTTATTTTTTATTTTATTTTAGGTCTATTAGAAACGGTTGTTATTTTTAATCAGTTACACTTGGATATTTCGAAAAAATTCAAAGTATTATTTTCAAAATAATTTCTTTATTTTATAAAAACCACTCTAGGAACATCTAATATATTGACATTTATTTAGTAACACCGCTCCTTTTATCGGCTTATCACATATTTGGCAATGGTTCGCATTGATACGGATGTTTATCTTTGATTGTCGGATGCGCAATTTGAGCTGATAATGATAATGGGTCGTTTGTTATTATCTTTTTTTTCAATTCCAGTTTACGATGAGCGAATAATAAGGGAGAACTGTTAAATTCCGGCTGAGCGGCATGGAAATTACTCAATTATTTATGCGGGGCGCGTTCTGGTTGGAAATGGAATCGAATTCAGGTTGCTGAATATTCACGGTCAGCTTTTGTCAGTTGAAGGTTTTCTTTTCAATAATCACCGGAAACCACAAATAATTGTTAATTTTTTTGCTTGAAACTAAAAACTAACCGTTTAATTTTCACAGAATGCAGAAATTTGAGAAGCGTGGCCGAAAACCGCTGCCGCAAACCTTCCGAGCTCGCCGAAGGCTAAACATGAATTGAAGTGAAGTTGAAAAAAATCTAAAAGCCAAATCAAAAACAAACTAACCGCCTTATCGATAGAAAATAGGAGGTTATCGAATAAATGTCATCGCTAAGTGTGACCGGCGGACTCGATAGAATTTATCTATTTACTGTGGTGTGGCAACATTGAGCAAAAAATAGACGAATCACCCTGTGGGCCAGTTTTGTTCGAAATTTTTGGCGCAAAAATAAATAAGTAGTTTAAAATAGCCCAACTGTAAGACCTTTATGATTTATATTAAAGAAAACAATTTTAAAAAAGATCATCAGTATTTAACAAATCATCATTTTCAAATGCCTTTCACCATTTTCTTTAAAATTGGTGATGTGACTAAAACATCGGTGTATCCAAAGAAATGTTAAAACATCGATAAATCGATATTTTCATCGAAGTTTCTCCACCTCTAGTGGCTACTGTTTGGTTCGCAATTGTTTACATTTATTTTTGGCATATTTTGGCGAATTCCCGAGATTATTCGACATGGCTGACGATCCGGAGAACTCAGTGGACAGGCCCACGGAGGAGGGAGATGCCAGCAAGCCGGAGAAGATGTTCACCCTGAAGAAGTGGAGCGTCGTTGCGATGTGGAGTTGGGACGTCGAGTGTGATATTTGTGCCATTTGCCGCGTTCAAGTTATGGGTGAGTTCATATTTATCAAAATATTATATTTAATTACTATTAATAATGCCGAATATACCCCTACATATGTCACAAGATAAAGTTTTCCCACAGGCAGAAACTTCTTCCAATTCGAGCGTTGCAAAATCCATAAAGACAAAGGGAAAGAGAAAGGCAAACCATAACAATCAGCGTTTTATACTCTTTCCAAAAGTAATACAAATCTTAGCCGAAGTTTGCCACTGTTAAAAGCAAGAATTTTTAAAATCAGAATTTCAAACAAAGACTAAAAATAACAGTTATTTGTAACTTTTATTGTGAAATGCCAACTTGGTTTTAACCTTTGTTTTTATTATGTTTGATTTATATGCACTTAGTAGGCTAGGTCAAGTTATATTGTATCCCGCATTAGTTTAATTGTGCATACTTTATGGACATATTTAAGGAAAAAGAGTGATATTTTGAACGTTAGTCTTTCCATCATAAAGGTTACAAAAAATGTTGTTCTTGGTCCCGCTTTTGAATTTGAATTTTAAGATTTAACGCTCTCCCTTCCAAATTTTTGACTGTTAAAACATAATATTATTCAACACTCTCAATTAACTGACAGCTGAATAGAAATATGTTTTTTATACATTGATATTACTATAATAACTAATCTCCCTTGCCAGACCTCCTTTTAAGGATCTTATAAAAGTGTCCTTAAATTTTACTCAAATTATTGGCAATCTCTTGAAAATTATTTGCATAAATACAAATGCCTAGTTTTTCATTTTTGAAAGTTTTATAAACATTTGAAAAAACATAAAAATCAAGGCCGCTATTTAAAACTTTATTAAAGGATTAAAATTTAGGTGGACGACTATTCATCTGATTAATATTAGAAAATACATTTAAAGCCCGCAAATAAATTTAAGCAACAAGCCTAATAAAACAAAAATAATAATAAATGATCACTAATAGCTAAAAATAAAAAAATATATCCAATTCATGTTGAGGAGTGTTATAAAAAATATCTTTAAAAGTCGCAATATGTGCTAGCCTATAAATGTTTGGCAGATAATAATAGTAATGATTTAAATTATGAATCGTAAATTGTTAATAGCAACGCTTTATCTTTAAAGGTGTTAGGCAGTTATCTCAGTTAATTAAGGAAATAGGGACCTAAAAACGTATAGGCGTTTTAAGTGTTTAAAAGTTCAGATTGCTGTTCACTTATTCCGTCATGATGCAGTTTATTTGCGTCATTTAAAGTTACATATTATTGGTTGACATCTTCCCTAGATTTATTTTTAAACTGACATAGTGACTGAGATAGTGAGGTAAATTGCTGAACATCTGATTACATTACCAGTTTCAACTGACCCAATTAATGAAAGGGAACTGAAATCGAATACAATTTATTTATTTAAATATGTATAAGCATAAATACTATAGTAAATTCCCCAGAAGAGTAAACAATTTCTAGAGCGACTATCACTTGATCGTCCAGCCGTTGCACGGATGCTTCTTTCGCAATTGTTGATTCGATTTTGAACTCGCTTAATTGCCGGCCGATAAGACTCGAACCTGTACCGTTTCAATCCGATCCGCTGCGAGGACCATGTAACGCTCTTCCTTATCGATGCGATTCAGTCGAGTGTCGGCAGCTTGATTTTTGCGATGATTGCCAGTGCAAAATCGAGCAAATGCGTTTCTATATTTGCATTTCATGTGCCTCTGGAATGGCCATCTAGCCGATTGGTCATCTAGACATTCAAATACCTACATATATGAATTTATTGAGCACCGAGTGCGGGGACATATTCAGAATGAAACTCACGTTTCAGAGGCGCTGACATTGTTCAAACTGTAAACCGCATTCTGAAGGTCGTATGCAAAGCGATTTTCCCACTCATTCTAACCGATTTTTCGTCGAAAGTAAACGTAACTTGTGTTTGGTTTGAATTGTATTTTTTTTTAAATTAGTCTACATATAGATACACTTAGAGCTTAGGTATAGTACAATATATATTCGATATATAGCCGATTGGTGTATTTTTCAGGGAGATTTTGGTGTTTTCGGGGTTTTATTTTTAACTACGACTAACTACGATTCATGTCATTTTTTTTACACCGATAAATTCACGCAACATTTATCAAAATGTCAACAGATTAGTGCTAAAAATCATAATTTACATAATAAAACTATGCACTTAATGATTATAAATAATAATAACAATTATGCGTGTAGAAAGGAAATTCTTTTGCTAAGCATTACAAGTTAGCTAGGACTAACAATATCAGAGCGCCTGGATGGGGTCCTTGTAAAATGTAGGTATGTTTCTTGTCAGGATCACCCACTGCGCCTACACACGTTTCTTAAGCACTAAAGGCACTAGTCTAGTATTTGGTTTGATCGCATATTCAGATCCTGTGCAACACGCCGTTTACATGTTGAAGGACAATGGCTTGATGTTGGCCACCGAGGACATGCGGCGCACACGGCCCATCATTTTCCGCTCGATGTCCTCCAGCGTCTTGCCCTGCGTTTCGGGCACATAGAATATCACAAAGAACAGGCCGACGAAGCAGATGGCACCGAACAGCCAGAAGGCTCCATGGGCGCCCATAGCAACTGCAAAGGAAAAATTAAAATCACAATTATTAAACAACTCTATTTTGTAGCTTTGAGCTGGCTGAACTCACCAGTGAGGTCCTGGAAGGTCTTGGTCACCACAAACGTGCAGGACCAGTTAAAGGCCGTGGCCACCGAGGCAGCCGAGCCGCGAATCTTGGCCGGCAGGATCTCGCCCATCATTAGCCAGGGAATGGGTCCGAAGCCCAGCGAGAAGCCGAGGATGTAGATGACGAAACAGCTCAGTGGCAGCCAACCCAAGTGGGTGACATCCGGACCATGGGCCTTGCAGTAGAAGAAGCCGCCCAAAACGAACAGGGTCAAGATCATGGCGATGTTGGAAACATACAAAAGGATCTGAAAATAAAGGGAAATATATAAGGAATGGTTTCTACTTGAAATTATGATTTGCAAACCCACCTTTCTGCCCGCCCGATCAATCAAAACGATGCCTATGAAGGTGGCCAAAAAGTTAACCACACCCACAATGATCGTGCAGACATTGCCATCGATGGTGGATCCCGCATCCTTGAAGATCTGCACCGTGTAGAAGATCACCGCATTGATGCCGCTCAACTGCTGGAAGAACATCAGACCCAAAGAGATGGACAGCGGCTTCAGGTTGTTGCGCTTCAGCAGCTCCAACATGGTGTTCTGGGTGGCCTGGCGATCGGCATCGGCCTGGGATCGCATCAGGCCCTTCAGCTCGGGCTCGACGTCCGCCTCCTTGCCACGCAGCCAGGTCAGAGCCTTCCGGGCACGCTCCTCCCGTCCGCGGCTCACAAACCAGCGTGGCGTTTCCGGGATCAGGAACATCAGTATGAGGAAGGGAACGGGCAGAGCTGCGCCCAAGTAGGCCAGCATGGACCAGTTCATAAAGCTGCCCGCCACGAAGCAGAGCAGGATGCCAATGTTACCGAACGCCGTGGGCAGCAGGCCCAAAGTGCCACGCACCTCTGGCTGCACAGTTTCGCCCAGATAAACGGGCAGTGACAGCGAGGCAATGCCCACGCAGAAACCGGCCAGGAATCGTCCACACAGTACCATCGCCACATGCTGGGCACAGGCGATGAGCAGCGAGGAAACGATGAAGGGCACCGCTGTGGCCAGGATCGTGTTGCGCCTGCCCAGGTATTCAATTAAGGGTCCGCCTGCAACACCACCTGCCAATCCAGCCAGCGGCATGATGCCACCAACCCAGGAAGCCTGCAAGTAGATACGAATTTTGAGTGATTAGATGGGGTTTCGTCATAATAATTATCATTATGAAATTGGTTGAGAAAGCTGAGTCAATTAAAGCTTGTATTTTAATATAAAGGTAGTATTATTTAAATGTATCAATCAATGTGTTTGAACATTTAAAAAAGGATTTTTACCTTTTATCAGGTTTACAGTCTACACTCTTTTTTAATTTTCGAACTACAGTTTTTTGTAGCCAAAAAATCTACTGAAATTATTAAAGTTGAAGAATAAGATTTAAAAACATTTAAGATTTTTAACTTTTACACATTTACAATGTAAATTTATTTTTTAAATTTTCAAGCTACGGTTTTTTGTAGTTTTTGTGTTAAAATTTACAGACATTAGTAATTTAAAAACCTAGCATTTTAAATATATTTTTTTAGTTTACAGAATTTTTAAACAGTTTTAGTACAGTTCTCATACGAATTTTCCTGGGAAATTTAAACAAAGACCTCAACCAATTTCCACGAAATAGATTCTTTCTTATCATTGTACTTACAGCATCCGGGGTGACCTCAAACGAGGTCTGATTCCTATCGGTCATCGATACAAGAGCAGGGGAAGTATAGGCGCTGCAAAATCCGACCACTAGGGAGCCCAACGAAACGCTCAAGGCGGCCAGGACCTGATAATATTAGAGATTATTTCAGTTAGTAAGGAATACATTTTTCTGGGGTTGCAAAAATGAATGGGGTTTTTCTGTGATGATTATGTAAAGCAGGCACCTGGGAGAAGGTACAAATCGCCTTGGGCTCCTCCACGGGCACGGAGAAGGACACATGGGTGTCCGCTCGCATTAGGATCTTCATCCCGCAGCTGTTTCTCTATCTCAGTCTCAAACTAAAACCGTTTTTGGCTGGCAACGAGGTTGCGGATATAGCTGATTTTAGCTAGGTGCTTGCTGCCTTTCACTTTGCTCCTTGGAATGGAATGCTTTCGGCGCGTACGCTCGTCAAAACTCAACTGAAACTTGTCATTTTGCCCGACTGCAGTGGCAGTTGCAGTTTTCGCTAGTTTTCAATTTTTTCGAGAACAGTTTTTGCCGTGATTTTATGCGGCTCAGGCACGTACACGAAGCCACCGAGTGCTGATCAATATCGCTTATGTGACTGAGAGATTCTGTTCCCAAGCGTTTGATCAAGACCAGGCTTATCAGTTTGTT